GCTAAGGCGAACAGCCCGATCCCATAAGAGTACTACTAAGGCGTTCAACCTGATCCCATTAGAATATGAAAATTTAACGAGTCCTTGACCCCATTCACGAAATATACATGTGAGTTATGAATTTCAAGAAAAACACCTATGAATACAGGCAACGCGGGAGAAATCCTACAATTCTCACGGCTAATCAAGCAGCTCGTCAAGTATCTAAAATAGCAAGTCCATTACTCAACACGAGTCTAGTCTCAAGTTGTAATATGTATTAAAGCACTTCAACGGGCAAGAAGAACTCAAATAGTATAATTAAAGCATGGAGTGAGCCTAGGGCTACCCGGACATAATCAGGAATTCTCGCATACATATGGACACTCGTCACCTCATACGTGCGTAGCTCCAATAATATGTAGCACATTACAAATATGATACCTACAGGGTAAATTCCCCCTCATAAGGTTAGATAGGAGATTTACCTCGCTTCGAAATCTGATAACCGGCTCCAATGCCTCTCTAACATCTCAAACCAAGGCCCAAATGATCCGAAACTAATCAAACAGCGTGCAAACAAATCAAAATATACTCCATGACACATCTCTTAGTAGTCTTTTATTCCACCAAATTACACGAATGGCCATAGTTTTTGAAGAAATAAAATATTCAAAACATAGCCATATTTTACAAGTCTTTCTCAACTTTGTAGATATAAACATTTCAAAAAAATTTCATAAGGCATAAACTTTATAAGAACATTTAACCTATTTTCCAAAGTGCATATACCTTCTTTCAAAATGGTAGATTTTAAACAAGACTTAGGATAATTTGCAGACTTTAAGCACTTAATTAAGTAGAATGTAGATCATTGAACCTAGTGTAAGTTCTAAGGAGCTATCTCAGGTAGATTTTAGGGGGTGCCTAATACCTTCCCCTTAGAAGAACAAGAACCCTTACCCAAATTTCACTGGTTAGTAGACTAATAGGATAATAATCAAATATAAACAAGTAAGTACCCTAATATACCTTAAAATATTAGGTGGCGACTCTCTTTTCTCAAATAAAAATAAGAAGAACCACTAGTTAAATTTTTTCTCTACCTATGCAAAATAGGGTTTATCATTAAAGTGTTGGGAAGGTTTGGAACAAGGTTCTAGTTGATATAAGTTTGTTTACCGGTACCGAGTTTGATGATGGAAAGCTACTATGGCCGGTGGTATTGCTACAGGCTTATGGGTGATATATTACATTGTGTGGTTATACGTTGTGGATGTATACATGAGCTGTTGTAGCCGGTTGAGGTTGATACAATGTTTTTATGTGGGATTTAGGTCTATGGGGGATGATCGGATGTCGAAATTTGGTTCTAAGGCTTATCAGCATGGGTGAAAGTAATAATTTTCGACCGAGATGGTTTTGTCAAGCTTATGTGGATTTGGGTGTTATGGGATCACCAGTGTGAATGTGTATTGTGAGCTTATTCAGTGATTTGATGACTTCAGAACGGTTCTTGGCATGCTCGAGGACGAATATTTGGTTAATAGGGGGAGAATATAACAAACCGACCTGTCATTTTAAGTTGTAGCATTATATTCGGTGGTTTGAGATCTTGAGTAGCTTCAAATTTTGTATTATGACTTGTGTCTAGGGTCAGTTTCGGTCCTTGAGCGATTCAGGATTGATTTGGATAATGATTCTCATATTAGATGCTTTAAGTTGGAAGAGTTGACCAAATTTGACTATTTGATCTTGGATCAGAGTTCTGATGGTTCCGATAGGTCCGAATGGTAATTTTGGACTTAGGCGTATGTTCGAAAGGTGATTCAGAGGCTCCTAGATTGTTTCGGCTTAAATTGACGAAAGTTGGATAATGAAGGTTTAGAAGGTTGATAGGTTTGACTGAGAGTTAACTTTGTTGATATCGGGCTTGAATTGTGGTTCAGGGAGTTGTTATAGGTCCGTTGTGTCATTTGAGACTTGCATGCAAAATTTGAGGTTATTCCGAGTTGATTTGATATAGTTCGTTGTGAGTTTTAGAAATTTAAAGTTCATTAGTTCATTAGGCTTGAATTGAGGTGTGATTTGTAGTTTTGATGTTGGTTGGTGTGATTTGAGACCTCTAGTAGGTACGCGTTATGTTATGGGAACTTTTGGTATGATTGGACGGGGTCTTGGTGGCCCCGGGGGCCCCGGGTGTGTTTCGGATTTGTTGCGGATCATTTTTTAACCTTGTTGAATTGTTGTGGATTCTGAGCACTGATGCCTTCGCACCTGCGGAGAAGGGGCCGCAGATGCGGCCAGAGAGCACATGTGCGGACATTGATTAGCGAAGGCAGGGACTGTAGATGCGGTTATCTGGTCGCAGAAGCGAAAACACACATGTGGTGATGGACCGCAGAAGCGGTTTGTGGACCATAGATGCGGTGGGTCGGCAGTTGCTAGGAAGTCGCACATGCGAGACTTTTCCAATAGAAGCGGCTGTTGGAGATCCGACTAAGTGATTGCAAAAGTGGATTCACTGACAGATTGTATATAGTTCAAGGGTTTGTTCATTTTTATCACATTTTGAGTTGTAGTGCTCGATTTTGGGCGATTTAGGAGGGGATTTTTATGATTTGGATTGCGGTATGTATTTTTTACTCTGATTTGGTTATATTTCATGATTCGTTCCTTATTTTTAGGATTTAATAGATATTAGATTTGAATTGGAGAAATTGAGGATTTTAGTAAAAATGTTTCTAAAATATAAACTGATGATTTGAAGGCCAATTTAAGTCGGGATTGGATGACTTTGGTATGGTTGGACTCGTATCAAAATGGTGTTCGGATTTTATGAGTTTTATCGGGTTCTGAGGTGTGGGCCCGGGGTTGACTTTTTATTCTTGTTCAAGATCGAAACTTTATTATCCGGAATTATTTTCTATGGCTTTTATTTATGATATTAAGTAATTATGGCTAGATTCGAGCTGTCTGGAGGTCGTTTCATGCGGGAAGGGCTTCTTAGAGTATTGATTCAATTTCGTTGAGGTAAGTATCTTGTCTAACTTTGTGTGGGGGTAAACTACCCCGTAGGATTTGGTCTAATTGTATTATTTGTGCTATGTGAAAGACATGTACACGAGGTGATGAGTGTGTACACGGGCTTATATATTGTAATTGACCGATTTAGACTCCTAGTCTGTTAATATACTTTCAATTGAAGTTATTGTTATATGAAATATATTTCATTGTTGAGTTATCTCTGTTTCATCGTGAAGTTGTTGAAATTATTGTACACACTGTTGTTGAGCTGTGGGCTTTACTATATTGTAATATCAGTATTATTGTTTTAGCAATATTGTGGTATATGTGGACTTGTGGTGTGGATCGATTGCTGTTATGCGGAGTATAAGGGTGATATTTTACTTTGTTGATTGTACGGAGTGATACGGGTGGCTATTGATATATTGTATAGACGGAGTGATAAGGGTGGCTATTGATATACTGTCTAGGTAGAGTCATACGGGTAGCTATTATATTATTGTCAGGGTGGAGCGATACGGGTGGCTACTGATATATTGGCTAGGCGGAGTGATATGGGTGGCTATTATGATATTGTTGATGCTGTGAGATAAGGGTGGTTATGTGGGGATGATATGTGATGGCCTGAGGATGTGTTATTGATGAAAAAAGGGGTATTCGTGCTTGTTCTCATGACTTCCTTGTGTGAGTCATGCATAGTACGTGATATGTTGTTTTGTTCCTAATGTGCCACTCGTTGTCTATGATATTACTTGATGTTTTGAGCTGTGATAGTACACTTGCACATGCATACATCGTAACATGTCATTTATACCAATCCAAAAGGATGAAACTTGATGTTCATTGATCACGTACGTGTATTCTTGTATATTTGTTTCCTCTGGGATATGGTTTGGACTGCTAGCCTGTGACCACGCTGGGCGGATTGTGATATTGAGCTCGTGACCATGCAGGACAGATTGTGGCACTGAGCTCGTGACCACGCTGGGCGGATTGTGATTTTTGCACGTAAGTTGTTCGTGCTGTTATGACTTATGTTGTGGCACGACGTCTTGGCCGTGCGAGGGTAATTGATAATGTGGGCACGATGTGTCATCCGTATAAGATTCATTGGTTTGTGACTTGAGAAGATTGTTTAATATATACTACGTGATACAATATGGTAAGCTATTATAAATATATAGTGCTGACCGTTGCATGACTAAATTTATTCTAATCAGAAAGAAAACATTGAGATTTATTTGGCAATTGCTCTATTTAATTTTTTTTCTCGATTTGCTTTAATGAACATTCACAAATTTGTGATACTTTAACACTGTTGTATAGTATGGTGAGTATACATTAGCAATTTAATTAAAGAAATTACTAATTTTTAAATAAGGTAAGTAACATTATAATTGAGGAGATTACTTGAATGGCACCCGATTCGATTACCTTGATAGAAAGGATGCCGTGCCACAATTACCTTGTATTTCATAATATAGCTCATAAAAAGTTTTGTTTTTATTACACTACTAAAAATTGATGCTAAACTGATATGCAGATTTCATAAATTTTCTACCATAAAAGGTAAATACATAAAAGATTGTATAGCTTAAATTGGGATAATATTTATGTTTCAACATATACAACTAAATTATTACCTCAATAAAAGTGTGGAACACCCAATTTTGCCAATTATACACTTCGACACTGTTGTATAGTATGGTGAGTATAATTAGCAATATACTATTTTTTTAAACAAGGTGAGTAACATTATAATTAAAGAAATTACTTAAATGGCACCCGATTCGATTACCTTGCTAGAAAGGATGTCGTGCCACAATTACACTTATTTTTATGTTATTACCATGTCTGGATTTTCTATTTATGTCCTAAAAGTAGGTCATTGAAAGATATATAGCTACCCTCCCAAGCCTCCATATATACTTTATTTTATACCTTTAAACTTCCACAGTTGGAATAGAAAGTGTATTTTAGGTCTTCCCTGAAAAATGGTTAATGAGCATAGAAGATCAGTTGTTCTTCAAGAAAGGATGGAAACTTTGTTTAAGAAAGCAGAAGAGCTATCTGTTCTATGTGATGTAGAAATTGGTATTATTGTTTTCAGCCCTGATAAAAAAAATGTTGTATATGAGTGGCCATCAAGAGATAAATTTAAACAGCTCTTGATGAGATATTTAGATAAACCACTGGTAGAGAGGCTTAAGAAGTTGACAACATTTGCAAATGAAGATAGTGTTATATGCATTTCCAGATGCAAAAATTGTATGAATACCTAGTTGTGGATTTTCAGATGCAAATCGAGCAGATTATTTTCTTCAAAAAAGAGATCGAGTGGAAGATCGAGTGCTATAGCATATATAAAACATTGGCATTTATTGTACCTAACATGTATAATAAACATCCTACATAACATTTAAATGTATCTTAAAACTACAACATTATCTTGTGATAATCTCAGTGCACTTTAATTGACTACTAATCCAGTTATACATACTAGAACTTATTAAGCATGTTGAGCTCGATTATTATTTTTTATTAAAAGAAAAAAGAGGTTGCTCGAGGTCATTGTTTTTACTCATTTGGTCAACACAACATTAATGAACTAGCTTATATTCACAAATTAGTGGGAAAGAAGTGTGAGTTAATTCAAAGTAGAACAACCACTGTAAACTTGTGATACTTAGTGGAAGAATGAAGCAACCGTGTTCCTCCTCTCATGCTCTAATAATTCAAAAATATATTTGGTTACTCCACCTTTAAAAGCCAAGTAAATTAACTAATAAGGGAAAAAATGATTGCTTATGTGGGGAACTTGTCACGACCCCAATTTCCCTCCGTAAGATGTCGTGATAGCACCTAGTCTTAAAGACTAGGTAAGCCTAACACTTACTGAATTAATGGCAAAATTCAACCAACAACTATTAAATATGAAACAAAAATTTCTATACAAAGCCAACAATCCCAAAATCGGTAGTACAAGTCACAAGCTCTACTGAATTCACTAAGAAAAATCTCTAAGCACAATGGTTCCGTAATAGAATTAAAATGTACAAAGATAAGTTCCGAAGGTGACTCGAAGGCTTGTGAACGCGATGGCAGGCTCTGAAGTCTCTGCAGCAATGTTCGGCCAGCTATCTAACAATCAACAGACTCCGAGTACCTGGATCTGCACAAAAATGTGCAGAAGTGTAGTATGTATACACCACGGTCGGTACCCAGTAAGTATCAAGACTAACCTCGGTAGAGTAGTGACGAGGTACAGTCAAGACACTAACTAGACAAAATTACTTGTGCAGTATAGAAGTATAAAGCTAATAATGGAAAGCAGAAATCTGTAAATGGCAACAAGAACTGACAAGTGATATAAATAGTAAAGCAATAGAACACCGTAAAGAATTGCTCAAACCAAATAAGAAACACAAAGGACAGCCAATTAATCAAGTTGTTCTTCACCATTTTCACAACAAAATTTTTCTATGATACCTCATCTCATAGTCTCAAATCACGGGTCTCAACCCACCATCACATACTCACGGCACCTCGTGCTGACATCTCGAATCACAATCGCACGGACAACTCACGTGCCAAAAATCACTATCTGCCAGGCATAGTCACAGGCTCACAATCACAATCCGCTCGGTACGGTCACATGCTCAATAGCAACATGAAAAACGGATAATAGAAGAACACATGGGCATGATTAATAAATGTCAAGTTTCATACTTGAGCTAGCTAGTACAAGTGGCATACTATGGTGTATGCTTGTGCGAGTGTACTACTGCAACCTAAGTCACCAAGTAATATCAAAGATATCGAGTAGTTCAACGAAGCAACAAAATAAGTCACGCAAGGTGTATGACAAATACAAGGGAAAACACACCATCACACGAAAATTACCAACACAATGTCTCCAAACCATCACACATCATTCCTGACATTGCCACCCTTGTCTCTCCGAAAGCCACCCATATAACTCCGCTCTGACAATATCATTAGCCACCCTTATCTCTCTGAAAGCCACCCGTATCATTCCGTGTAATAGCCACCCTTATCACTCCATGTTATAGCCATCTTTATCACTCCGCCTGTACAATAACACAATAGCCACCCGTATCACTCCGTACATTCAACAACAGTGAGATACCACCCTTATGCCCCGTATAACAACAACGGTGAAATGCCACCCTTACACTCCGCATAACAACAACCAAAATCACACAATAATTCACAAATGCTAACATCACAATAACATGATGTATCAACTCGTAACACAAGTGCCCATAAGCCACAACCTCTCTAAAGATCCAATAATATCAATATTTCTACAATAAATAGCCCACGACTCAAACACAATGTTTATAAAATTAACAAAAAGAACTGGAAAGTAACTCAACAAGGAACAACATCTCATTTAAACACAACTTCAATTAAAATAGATTAATGACTCTCGATACTTCAATTCCAATTAATTGTTTAAGGCTAAACTCAATAGTGAAAGTATCTTCATGACATGGCAACTCCGGATTCTAGTGTTTGAATTAAGCTAAAAATGAAAGAGATGACACGAACTGGCACTACGTCTAAAGGCATGAGAATAAACCGGCAACAAGGGATATCATGTAACAATAATCTCAACGAAGAGAAACTCAACAATATAAGAAATCATGTAATGGTAAAAGTGGTAACAACTCCAAATAAAGCATATAAGAGTAAACTCGGCAAGTAAAGAATATGACATTTAACGACAACTTCAAATAAAGCATGTGATAGTAGACATGACGAATAAAAGATATAACATGTGCTAACAATTCCAAATAAGTACCTAAAGTCTGCCTAAGAGTCTAGACTAGTAAATTTCTATAATTAACCCCAAGTACGTACTCGTCACCTCGTGTACAGGGCTTGCACATAACACAGTTAGCAAAAACGACTCAAATCCTAAAGGGTAGTTCCCCCAAACAAAGTTAGTCAAGATACTTACCTCAAGGGAGCTAAACCGATACTCTAAAATGATCTTCTCATGTGACAATCTCTGGACGGCTCAAATCTAGCCAAAACAACTTAATATCATAAATAAAAACCATAGGAAATAATTCCGGCTAATAAAGTTTCGATCTTTAATTAATACTAAAAAGTCTACCCAAAAGTCAACCCCGGGCCAGGCCCTCGAAAACTGATAAAATTCATAAAATCCAAAAATCCATTCAGATACGGTCCAACCATACCAAAATTATCAAATTCCGATAACAAATCGTCCTTCAAATCCTCATTTTACATTTTTGAAAGATTTTACAAAAATTCCCGTTTCCTCTCATTCAATTCACTAATTTAATAATAGAAATGATTACGGAATCATGAAATATAATCAATACCGGATAAATAGTACTTACCCCAATCAAAAACGTGAAAGAACCCCTCAAAAATTGCTCAAATCTGAGGTCTACAACTCAAGATATAATAAAAATGTCCAAACCCTCGACTTAAATACATTCTGCCCAGAGATCCCGCTTTTGCAGTCAAAAGGTCGCTTTTGCGGCAAAAAATCCACTTATGCGGAATTACCCTACCTGAGCCAAATGTCTCTTTTGCTCAATGTTCCGCTTTTGCGCTTTTACGCTCAGTGTTCCGCTTTTGCTGCTGCACAGTGCGTCCAAACATCCACTTTTACAGTCTTCTTCAATCTAGCCCAACTTCGTCTTCTGCGCTATTTTCCTACGCACCTGCGAGCAATGCACCTGTTCCCAGTGGTCCACACTTGTGACCACACCAGATCTCTGCACAAAGTAAACTTTGAGATTGATTTAGTAATTGCATTACTTAGTGAGCATTTTTGAGTTTGCAGCATTACGGTGAATAAGACTTTTAGTGGAAATGAAATTTTCTTTTAGCGGCAAATGATTAAATACCGGCAACTGATTAAATACTATTGGATCCAAAGACGCTAAAGTCTATCACGACATTTATGCCTGTAACGGCCCGACCGATTATTTTATGTATTTAAGTCTCGTTTCATCTCTTAAATCTTTTCCTATGTGTATTTGTGATTTTATGGCTTGCGGGGATAGTTGGTTTCGTTTCGAGGAAGTTTTGAAATGATTAGGATCCATTATTTTTTAGTTTAGAAGCTTAAGCTGAAAATATTAACCGACGGTTGAATTTTGGTGAAAACGATCTGGAAACGATATTTTAATGGTTCCAATAGATTCGTATGGTGATTTTGGACTTAGGAATATGCCCGAAATTGAATTCGGAGGTTCCTAGGTTGTTTTGGCTTTTTTTGCCGAGAATCTACAATTTTAAAGTTTAGAAATATCCTAAGTTTGACCATAACTTTATAACTTCGGGCATAGATTTTAGTTACGTAACTTGGAATAGGTCTGTTTTGTTATTTGAAACTTGTCTGCAAAGTTTGGTGTCATTCGGAGTTGGTCTGATAGGAATCGAACACATGGTTATATTTCTAGCGATTCTTGAGTTCATTAAAATTATTTGTTTTGGTGTCCGGTTCATGGTCCGGATATTATTATGGTATTTTCATCATGCGGGCGAGTTCGTATGATATTTTTAGACTTGTGTGGATGTTTGATGTGGAGCACCGGGGTCTCGGGTGAGTTTTAGACGTGTTTTCGATTTTTTCGAACTTGTTTCAGGTCACTGGTGTGTTGATGCTGCAGTTATCGCAATTGCGAGCACCAGCATCGCAATTGAGAAGATTGTAGGGGAGGTTCAGATTTCGCAAATGCGACGCCCTTATCGCATTTGCGAAGTTAGTGTTGAGTTGGGTCAGGTTGCATTTGCGATCATTTGGTCACTTTTGCGAAGTAGGCTGCAATTGTAATTGTGAAGCCTTTGTCGTAATTGCTGTTGATACCCAATTTCTCCCTCATATATTTTTAAAATGCCTAGGCAAAATACATAAGTTACCACCTGACCTATGACCAAAATCCCCCTTACACACTTTTTGTGGACGATAATAACATTACACACGCAACCTTTCTAAAGTGTATCTAGTACACACCACATTTGACAGATGGCGCGCGCGTGTTTTACACGTAAAAGAGGCGGGTGAATGTAAAAGTTTTGGGTCTTAATCATTACTTAAATGCCATATGTCTAGCCTTTTTTCCTTTTACACTTTTTTTGAGTCAATTCTTATTTTTTTCTATTTTTAGTTATTTCATCTCCAAATAATTTGATCCCTTTTCCACACCCCACCCGTTTTCCTCTTCCCTTGGCCACCCACTTTGTCTTCTCCTTATATTAAACTCTAAAACACAACAATAATTGTAGAGCAAGATGCAAGTTCTAAATTATTAGTCATCTCCTTCAAGATTTAACTTTTTCAGATCTGCTAATGAAATCAATGATTGGTTTCTTTATTTGTTTCTATAATTTTATTTTTCAGATCTGTTGATTCTTTCTTTAACTTCAAAAATCTTTTTTTTTAATTGAATGGGTGTGAAAACTGAAAAAGGGGGTTATAGTGTTTGTGGGTTTTGCTCTAAAAATTAATGGTAGTAGTGGTGCTGTTATGACAATGGTAATTTTAATAAAGAAAAAAAACTTTTTTGTAGTGAAAAAATGGGACACGACGCTGCTAACTATGGCGTTAATTGTGGAAAATCGATGATAGGGTTGTGATTGTGGAGTAGATGATTAAGTGGGTTGGGGGAGAGGAATTACTAAAAGCGGAAAAGGGGGATCTTTTTTTATTTATCTTTCTGTTTTTAAAGAAGAAATTTTAATAATGGTGTAAATTAGATATTTTATTGTATTTTCTTTACGTTTTGACACGTGTCACGATATTATTGGTGCATGACATTACACATATTTTGAAAAATTGGTCAATAAAAAGATGGTGTGTACTAGATACACTTTAGAAAGGTTGCGTGTGTAATGTTATTATCGTCCACACAAAGTGTGTAAGGAGGATTTGGTCCATAGGTCAAGTAGCAACTTATGTAATTATAGTGCATGAGCATCAACCCGTATTTTTCCATAATCTCTGCAATTTTAAAAGGATTTTACTTGATTTATTCTAGCATTTTATTATCTAAATAATTACTAATTGCATCACGAATGATTTTGAAAAAATTTTGTTGCTTAATTCTATCATTTATATTTACAATTAAGCCCTGATTATTTTATACATTATTATATTTACATATGTAGGTTATAATTGCAATAACTTTGCAATAATAGCCCATGTATGCATAATTTCTTTATTTTTACACGAAAATGGATCTTTATATTTTTATAATATTAAGTAATTATTTTAAATTATTTTCATACATAAATTGCACTTTTCATCATTTATTAACTTTTTTTATAAATTATTTTATTAAATTAAATGGGTATTTAAAATATGGCCTCTTTTAATTTGATTTTCGGACCTTAGCCCAATAACTACCCGCCCCAACCCCAGATTTAATCCTGTCCGTTGATCTCAGAAGATCAATGGTCCAGGACAATCCTTCAATTTTTAATTAATCAAACGACCTAAACCCTACCCATTTCCCAAATCCGCCGCCCTTGAGACCTCTTCCCTCCTCTCGTCTCTCTCACCTTCCTTGTAACCCTAACTCGCCGTCACTGAAACCCCTTTGATTCATGGGTTCTTTCTTCAACCCCAGGCCTTATCCAGCCTCATATCTCTACTGGTTGTTCGATTTTCATGATACTTGATGGAATCTCAAAGAGATCCGAACCAGATTTGGTTCAAATCTCCCATTTTCTCGATTAATCCGTTTGTGTTTGCTCATACGTCTGTGGGTACTAATATCTTCGTTTTTATGGCTTCAAATCTCTGGTTCAAACCAGATTTTTTCACCTCTATTTATTTTTTACATAACCTAACTATTTCTGGCTAAATCAGGTCAGATCCCTTTTGATCTAAAGCGTTTTGAGTTTGTTTGTTACTTTTCCTTCAAGATTCTTCTGTTTTTCCTACTATTGTCAACCGATTTTATTTTTTTCCTAAAGCTAGGGTTTTGGTTCTAAGATATTTCTGCAAAAAAAAAAAACGTTTTAAAACGTTTAAGTGTTTAACTCCGGTTTTCTTTCATTACTTTTTCGACTGATTTTCATCTCTATGTCTTCATGCCCTAGGGTTTTCAATTATTCTAGTGTTTGCTATAATATTTGCCCGTTTACTTTGGCTGTCAATTAAAGTGATTAATTGATTTACTTGCCTAATTAGGGTTCGAAATTGTGCTTCCCTTTTCAAAAAAAAAATGATATTTCCTTGACAAATTTTTACCTATTCTTTCCTTATGTGTGATTCATAATTGGTACTACTTTCCTTAATTCTTTTGCTAGCATGATTTCTGTACTTTGATTATTAGGAACGACTTTTAATTGATCTCTGGACTTACTACTTACCTTATTTAGACCTCTTTCTTGACTGCTGATTTATTCCGTGTTAATTTAAGTGATACTTCCGTGATTCTGCCTATTAATTGATTCATGTTAGCCCTAATTGACTGATTAACTGATCTCTTTGCCTTATTTGTATGTCATTGATTCTCCTACCTTATTTGCTTTTACTCTACTGTATGCTATAAAAACCTTTCATTACTCTGATTTTAAAACACACGCTCACGCTTACAGACTTACACTCACACTTACACACTCTTACAATTTCTTCACTTTACAACTCAAAAGCTCTCTGCTTTTCTTCAAAGAATTTAAGTTCTCTCTTTGTGCGACTACTCTGATTTCTGCACTGTTTAGCCGGCTGGAAGCCAAGGCTAAACTCTTTGCATCCAAATTGCCATTGCATTCCTGTTTACTTTCTTCCTAACTGGTATGTGTTAACTCCTGTTATCTATTTTGTTCCCTGTGCTTATGTGGTTAGTTTATTTCAAACCTCAGCATGTTTCTGTGTGATCTATGATTCCTGTTTACTCCTTTCTCAACTGGCATGTTTCAGTTCCTGTTATCTTATTATGTCTTATAGTTTATTTCGACCTCGGCATGTTTTTCTGTTACTGCTGGCATGCTTTAGTCTATGTTACCCTATTCAATCCTATGTGCTTATTAGTTTGAGATTTCCGCGTGCTTCTGTTTGCTATATGCCCATATGATTTCACCTAGTGACAAGATTAATTATGTTATCTCTCGTAATATGAAACCCTGTATAAATAATTGTATGTTCTCTGTTCTGCAAACATGTAATATATTGCCAACTCTGTCTATTAGTTCAAGTATCCTGGCTCTTTTGTGATTGCTTAAATACTAGTACAGTGTCCATGTCTGAATCAATACCAATCTGTTTGAACTATTTACTAAATAGAGATTCTGTTTGTTCTAGGTGAAATTTTGTTTGCAGTCCTGTAATTTGAATCTGTCTGCTCCTAAAAATCAAACTATTTTCTAAAACTGTCCCCCTACCCCACGATGTACTGGTTTTTCAAACTATAACTCTTAGTTACCTAGGTTCCTACCACCCCCAGTGTGAGCACTGCCAAGGGTCCTTGAGACTCCTCCGAACTCTGACACATTGGGGATGGTCTTCCAATCTCTTACAAACTATTTTTTCCTAAGTAAGGTTCAGGTATGAGCATTGCCCGGGGTCCCTGAGGCCCTTGGGAACTTTGACACACTTGTACGCTTCAGACTTGCTTTGCTTGAAGGCCTGGTTTCCAGGTTAATATTGGGCCTGCTAAGGCTCCCTATAGTATAATGAATTTAGTTATGTAATTTATTCATTCTGGGCTGTAATAATCTCTGTAATAAATAGATCTAGGATTTATTAGTAAAAGCTGGAGGGGATTTTCTATATCTTTGTTTGAAACTTGGGTAGAAATCATGCATATAGGTTTATTGGTGATTATGTGAATGTTACTACTTGTCTAAAGATCATGCCTATAGGATTTTCTGATTGCTATTTCACTCGCATGCTAGAAATCCTGTTTATAGGCCCCTTTGCATTAGAAATCATGTCCATAGGATCCATGCACATTCTTAACATACGTGCATTAGTGACCATGTCTATAGGATTCTATCTATTTGAATAATAACCTTTCCTGGAAATGTGCTTAAAATTCTACCCACATGTGATTGATAGATATCATGCCTATAAGAGGTAAAAAAAATCAGTTTCAACTTAGATACCATACTTATAGGAATAAAAGGAATCAGTTTCAAACCTAGAAATCATGTCTATAGGATTTAAGCTAATAAATATCATGCTTATAGGGTGAAATCAGTTTGTAAACTTAGAAACTATGCTTATAGAGGTTTAAATCAAGTCAACACTTAGAAATCCTGCCTATAGGGGTTTAAACTAATTAGAAAGCATGACTATAGGATCTAAAAGGGATAAAACCTGTCTTTATGAGTTAAAAATCAGTAATTCACTTAGAAATCACGTTATAGGTTGTAGATATCATGCCTATAGGGTTCTGTTAATCAGTTTTGAGTTCGATTAATTCTGATTATCACTTAGGCAAATTCGTAGGGGTTACTAATGATTCTGGGCCTAAAATTGTGATATCTTACTGCCCGAAAATGCCCAGATTCAAGATTTAATAAAATCAGTAGGCAAATTGATAGGTCCAGATGCCCGCCTTAACAAACTGATGTCTTGCATTCTGTTTTGCTCATCTAAATATCCTGCCTATAGGATCCTAAATTAATGAAATCTGTTGATTTAATTGCGTGCATTTGTTGTCTACTTGTGGAGATTTATATGGGCCCTTATTTGCTCCTTACATGATAGTCCCGTTTGAATTTTGTTTGTCGCCTAGCTTTTTCTCATTTAAGCAACATAGGTCAGTGTAGAACCACCCTAAATAGAGGTCCTAAGTGCCTCTAGGACCATAGGAAAGGGACGGG